TCATGCCCAGGCACTAAGTGGCACAGGGAACTGCCGCCACCCACAGACGTAAATCATGCCCAGGCACTAAGTGGCACAGGGAACTGCCGCCACCCCCTGAAGTGGCACTAAAGAGGTCAGGAAGCCACTCTGGCAGCAGCTGTGACCTTGGCGATGCCCCCGTAGGACATACAGACACGCCTGTCAGCTCTGTCACTGCTGGACAGAACACCCCAAAAGGTTGATGGACGTGGCTGTCCCTCAGCTTTCAGAATGACAGCTTGAATCCCGAGCCTGCTTCCATGAGGAAGGGTGGACACCAGGAGAGAAGCAGAGGCCCCGGCTGGGTGGACATGCACTCAGGTGCTGAGGGCTCAGAGTGAACCAGGAGCAACAGCTGAGCCATGTTTACAGCCCCTCATACGAGCCCTGGCTGGAGGCCGGAGGTTCCAGGGAAGGTGGGCACCAGAGCCCGTGTCTGAGAGATTAATACACAGGTGCCATGGCTGCTGCTTCTGTCTTCACGGTGACTTACAGACACGGACGCCGAGGCCTGGGAAGATGAAGCGTAGCTGTGAGAGGAGCTCACATTCCGCTGGCCCACGAGAGCTCCAGCCCCGGCCAGCCCGTGTGCTGGTTGTCATATTAGACGGACTCTCCAGAGGAACAGGAGCAATCAGAGATGCAGATGTGTGCACAGAAATAGTTCTAGATTAGACAGAGACATCCATAGAGACACAGTTTGTAGATGTAGTTGTATAGATTTAGATATAGATATCGACTTAAATATATATGGATATTGGTTGAGATATACATACATGCATAGATTCACATAGATTAGACATACATATAGATAACAAAAATGTAGACATGGATATAGTTATACCAATTTAGATTTGGATATAGATATTGATTATGGATATAGATATAGTTTTAGACTTAGGTACAGATGCAGATATAAAAATATAAATTTACACATAGGTATAGAATAGATTCAGGTGTAGCTATCCCTATATAAGTTTGGATATAGGGCCGGGCGCGCTCCCACGCAAGCAGCCATCAGTGCCTTCTCCG